TGTTATCAATCTTACCTGATTCCCCACCCCCACCTAGCAGTTTGTCAAACTTCCCTGAGTCCTTCCCTGACAGTTTTCCCACACCTATTTATTCTAGTGGGTGGAGAGGGGCAGTGTGGTCTGGAGCAATAAGAAAGTCTCACTTACAACTACTGGCTAATGGCTATACCATCCCACCTAAAAGTTGACTGAATCTGTTGTCTGAAACTGTCAAAAAACATCTATTGTCTCTCACAGCCAAACAGAATCATGCACACACAATCACGTTTATGATATAACAAATTAGAACAGCACATGTAGTTTCGTTGATTCCTTACCTCAATAACACACAGAATCCCAGCAATAAGACAAAATACTCCATTGAAGGCCATCAATATTAGTAGAGTAACAGATAAGCAACCAGAAGCAGTGCACTCCTTAAGGGCTGATGTCCAAACAATAGTGAGGAACAACGTCAAGAATCATCATCAAAGGTAAATCCACTGCACTCTCTATTAATACTTCAAATCCACTCATGATAAAATGCCAATGAATATGTATACCTTAGCTTAAATCTTAACTTACATCCATAAAGTGCTACTAACATTAGATTTCAAACAGTTGAGAGTAAAGTTCAAAATTTACCAACTTTCTTACTTACAAAAAGCAATTCTGTTTACTTATGTAACCATCAAGTTCATACATGTATATTGAATTACTAAGTTAGGAATTTTGGAGTTTGCTTCATGCATGTGGAGTTGAGAACCAGGACAGTTTGACCCTATTGACACAAAACTCTCAGCTAACATCTTTCTTTCTTGTACTTCTGCTTTTTTAAATATTATCATAAAATTTTTTTAATTATAAAAATTAATTCATTTGTTTACTTAGTTTTTAGCAAATCTTTGGCCCTAAGAGCCCTGGTGCTACACCAAAATATGGTTTTTAGACTGTTAAATAACATAGGGTATACAAAGTAAAAAAAGATACATTTGTCAATAGTATGAAATTTCCACTTAGTCAAAAGCGTCACAAAATAGTCAATAAAAACAGCCACCTACAAACAATTGGAACAAAAAATTAATGGATAGTAAAAAAATGGCAGATTGATGAAATTTCACTAGGCTGAGAGAATGTTCATAGATTTGATGATTTTTGGTACTTTCAATCAGTCAAATTTGTCAAAGCGAAATCAGCTTGGCTAAATTGATCATTTTGACCAATATTGGTCAAATTTGTCTATGCAAACTTAGCTTGACAGATTCAACAATTTTGACAAATTTTGCCTTGCATTTCTGAACATGTCTAGCCAGAACTTGAATCCAGACCTCTTGACCTAGAGTCCAGCACAGGGGAGTTTAGTGTTTAGCATTGGCTTTCTTCCATAGCAACACAAAATTTTTCAAATTAATCATTCTCAGTTTGATATTTTTGTCTTTTGGTTTTCTTTCTTTTTTTTTTGTTCTTTTTGCAGATCATCAATGGCAATTGCTTTTACCATTATTATATGCTGAATTTAATAAATGGAAAAGTTAATTAGGAATTCTTCCTCTTTTATAGTTTTCCTGAGTGATGCAGGACATTTTTTGAAAACTTTTCTAGGGATTTGCTACTCTTACCAAGCCTGTCAAGATCCCAATAGCGCCTGTCACCAACCATCGGACTACCTCTTGCCCCAAAAGTGACTGATTTACAATTGGAAATGATAACAATTTGATTAAAAGCTGTGTGTTATCTACACATGATAGTGGAGAGGTAAGGGGGGATGGTAACCAATGAGAATAAGGATGGGATGGGTATAGGAAGTGGGAGATGGGAAATGAGAGATGGGTGATGGGAAATGCAACATGGGATATGGGAAATAGAATATGGGAGGTAGGAGATGGAAGATGGGAGATTGGAGATTGGAGATTGGAGATTAGAGATTAGAGATTGGAGATCTAAGATTGGAAATTGAAAATGGAAAAAAATTGAAAATAGGAGATAGAAAATGAGAGATGAAAATTGGGAACAAAATAGTAGACATTTGTTCATCACTAAATCTAAAAGTGTCTTACAATAAGGGGCTAGAGACAGGAGTTCCGTGGAATAAAAGGGAGTGTAAATGAGAAATTATTACCCTGTTGTCCTCCTCTTCTCATTAATGGGGTTCTAAATTATCTTGACTTACTACATGTCTAGGATTGACCATTAAAAGGTTGCAGGGAGAGAGAAGAATTCTAGAGACATGAAATCAATTAAGTGTTTGTTTAGGATTATTTTAAACAGGAGTGTCGAACAGCTTCACCTAATTTATCAAATGATGTCTTCTGTATATTTACTGACTGATGGTATCAATACCTATCAATGACCCAACCCCTTTCAGTTTTGCTATTAGCTGATGCTCATACTATAATAATGCAATTTCAATTGGTAATTACATGTATTAACTGAAGAAAAAAATCTCAATTGGTACTAACCTGCATTAACTCAACATTACAAACACTTGGAAAAGTAACATGGCTCATTCAGGCTTTTAATTCAGAATTATTCAACAATATTTTTACCTTTTTATCTCTGGATGCAAGCATCCTTGAAAATGGCTTGTTGTAGCAGACATCGTAATCTAGGCTCTGTAACGGAAAAATTAAGTCTCAGACAGTCTAATAAATAAGTGACAAGATTCATTTATCAGTTGAAATGTAAATTGAATTGATAAATTTGCAGTAACAGACAGGGATCTTGATGAATTTATAAAATGCAATTAACCCTTTAACTCCCAGACCAAGTTTCTAATTCTCCTCACTGTCAACCATACAATTCTTACAATGTTAGTTCAGAGAATTTAATACTGGATCAACTAATTATCCCCAAATTAATATTTTTCTTAATTCTCATCAATATCTGGTTGATATTGTATTGATATTGTAAGAAGAAATTCTGTCTTGGTCACTCATGGGAGTTAAAGGGACCATCCCTTTCAGTTTTTGAGACATGAATTGCTCAGTCTAGTTACCATTTTTTACATTTGTGTAAATTACTCTATTGGCCTGTAAAACGTCTTTAAAAAAAATAGGATTTTCATTCAAAAGAAATTAAGAAGAACAATTTATTTGCAACTAAAATAATAATAATCGGATACTTGCTTTAATGAAGGAGGTCTTTAAAGCATGTTTTAATTAAAGCAAAAATTTGATAAGAAGAAGAAACAGTGTTATTAAAGGATGGTGTTTGATTAAAGACCAAATTCTTAGAACTGAAATTATAAGAAATTTATTGCAAACAGTTTTAAGAATTTATAGCTAGATCTTGGAAGTAATAACCCTTTACACCCTAACATCAGTATTCATATTCTCCATACTGTTCTCTGTAAATTTACTGAGGTGCTGACAAGGAGAATAAGGTTATCTAATAATCAAGAGTTTCTTTTAGTTATTGATCATTTCTTTTATTCTCGTGACAATAATGTGTGATTCAGTGGTGATATTGTTAGGAGAAATTAGATACCAGTCACTCTTAGGAATTAAAGAGTTAATGGGTTAACTCTAATACTATAGATACCTCATAGTCTTTCCTTGGAAGTTTTGATCCTGCTTGCAGATGTCTTCCAGCATTAAGTTCCATCTAATAGAGGAAATTTAATTCAGCCTCTTACTCAAAATCCCCACATTGTACTGATCTAGAGCAATTTCCAATAGCAAGTGGTCTGACAGATTGCTTTGGTTTTGCTTTACTTTGTTCTGTGATTAGTCCAGAAAACTCGCACCAATCTCTAAACCAATAAAATGCGAAACTAAAACCACTCCAACTTGGTCACTAACATCTCCACATGCCTCAAGCTGGGTACTAATTTTTATTTTGAGTTCTTATAGGTTAATGATGATGTTAACCTTTGTTCTGATTTGTAGCTGTGATTACTTTCAATTGGTTTTGATTGTTAGACACTTGATTGAAAGATGGTCTATCCTGGTGATTATAGCAGGGGTGCTAAATTTCAAAATGGCTACCTCATACTTTTTCAGTGATACAAAAGAAGAAATAAACGTGATAAAAACAATTCAGTTCCAAAGAGGTACATTATACAAAAGATGCTTATACTAAGTATGGAGTCACTCTTCTCAAAACAAACTTTAAGATATCAGGTTTTTGCTTATTCAATTAACCCTTCACCTCCCAAGATCTGATTATCAATTCTCCCCTCTAGCTACAACACATCTCCTTGTAAAATTGATTATGTGAATTTGGTGTTCAATCAAGGTAATAAATTGTACCTGATGAGTTTGAGTATTCTCACTACCTGTTTGCTACTTTAATGTATGGATACTATAAGGAGAACTTACATGTTAATCACTTCTGGGAGTTAAAGGGTTAAATAAACCTGTTAAATTCCATTGAGAATCGGGCTGCTGATCACAACATGTACAAGTAATCATTAAACAATTGTAACAAAATGGTTTCAACATTAACCCAATTTACAACAAAATTTGTTTCTAAAACTGGACATCACTACCATTGTCATTAGTAGCTGGAAACTGATGCGGTATCAGCCCTCTGGAAAACACCAGACCCCCTCCCCTCCCCCCTCTCTTTTCCAACCTGGAGATGGGGAGGGGGAGGGGGACTTTTATTTTCAAAACATGGAGAATAAATTGAGGAGAGTACAAAGAGCCGGATAGTTTTCGGTCATGATCTGTGATAATATCCTTCTGTTTGTAGTTTAAGTGTGTTCCGTTCATTCAAAGACTATAGAGACTTTAAGTCCTAAGCGTCATATTAAACACGCTTTTGACACTATTTCTCGTTCCTTTATGTGGGTTCCCGGCGCGCAAGGGAAAGACCTCAGAAGTCATCATCAGAATTTGGCTTCAGAGTGTGGCACATTGAATTGCATACCATATGGATGCCATCATTTCTAACTATGATGCAAAATTGTAGCTTGTAAATTTAGGAAAATTGTAGCCTGTATATTTAGGAGAAATCCCTCACTTACCAGCTCCTGAGACCGATCAGGGGATTGATGGCGAAGTCTCTCTTGGTCTTCCATCAGCAATCAACATGCGCTTTTTCCCACTTTCAAAGAGAGGCACTAAGATCAACGAGTCTCTTTTAAGCTCTCTGTTCACCAGAAACCTCAACTTATCGGTTTTCAGTGTATTTCCTCGCCATTTCGTCTCCGCGTACTACACCGTTCACAACTTTCGAACTTTCAAGTCGAAAGTAGACTGGAAACGAATGCTGCGACCGAGCTCCGATCATTTCCGCCAAGACAAACAGACGATTAAATCTATCGTATGATTTTCATGATTTCTAAACGGTACTTGCTGTGAGTATGATTTTAAGACACTAAATGCTTGTTTTGTCATATTTAAAATGGCTTCATTTCATACAGGCAAAGACTAGGAGCTTCGAATATCGCACAAATCCATTCTTACATCACCCAGCTTGTTCCTTCTGGCTTTGTTGACCGTTTTAAGCTGGGTACTAATTCATAACAAAGTTGTAAGCTTCGGCCCGGCTTGGCAGAGAAGATAATGCTTCGTAAATATTTTTTCCTTGTAAGCCCAGTCTTCTTTACGAACAGTTCCTAATGGTGTAGTTAGAAGGTAAGAACTATTTTAGATTCTTTTATTAAAATATTTTACTCGTCTCTTCCTTTCAAATTGCATCTGGCAAATTCGTGCCTCCTTACATGCCTATTACATTTCAGCAAGATTATCCCGCGACAGTTTTTCTCCAATTTTTGTCGTCGATTTGAAGTCTTAAAGCTTCACTTTTCTACCTACGGTTTTTTTAAAGATCTTTTTAAATAATAAGAGGTAATTTTTAATTCAGAAATGAGAAAAATGGAGGATTTTATTAACACTTTCTATCTATTGCTGCCATTGTTCACTCGATCAGGAAGTTCTTTTTTTCCTTCTGCGTAGCTGCGATCAATCGTTTGTGAAATACGAGATCGTTTCGCCTCCCAGAAATGAATTACCCTCTCTCATTTTGATAGACTGTAAGCAAAATAGATTTTCCTTTAGTTGTAATTCATATTTATCATAGTCCAATGTTAAAAAGTTATTAATTTCAGCCAAGTCAGTTCAGAGGAAGACTTAAGCACGTTAGTGTATTTAATTTAAACCCACGTCCGTGCATTTTGAATATTGATTGTTCTCGTGGAAGTTTAATATTTGATCATTGTTATGTTAAATATATGTGCAGTATTCAACTCATTTACGTCCATATATGATGAATAAAACTCCATAAGAAAGTTGTTTCGTCCTCATTTAAAATCGAAAGTTTAAAACGAGGACATCAATTGAGCATTGAATAGGCTTTTGTCTCTATAAGCTCACTCACAAAAGCTGGTTGTTTTTATTTCCTTAATTGGATCTCTGTGCTTGAAATATAAAAGCTATTTGAAAAAAAAAAAACATGATCATTCATGAATATTGAGAATCTTACACTTTCTTCATCTCATGTAAGAAATAGATTGTATATATAAACTTTTGATTACATATTTCCCTCTAATAACACAATAGAGAGTACGAGAAAATGTGCATTATGGACCGGTCTTGTCGGGAGGTCTTGGGAAAAAAGTTCTTTAAGATATATTTTGTTGATATTCAGTCAGCTCATACCTTTTACCAAATGAATATAGTTCCTTGATTTGCACTCGGCCTATTTTATCAATAAAATTGAGATTGTAATGCAAATGCGTATGCAATTTCTCATCAGTTCTTTAATTTCTTTTGAAGTTGATGTTCGTAATGTAAACTTAATAAGCAGAATCCTTAATCTTTTGAGACAGGCAGGTGATCCTCATTTAATTGGTAACTTGTTGCATGTGATTTTCATTTGAAATGGAAGAATCTTTAATGAATATAACACTCTCTACATTTCATCAGTAAGGCAAGAAGGTTAATAACCTTCTCAGACAATTTCCTCATCCAATTATCTGCCAACTGACATGTACAGTCAAACTTTGTTTGTCTGCTCCTTGATAATCCACACCTGCCTCTCCGTTTCCTGTTCTCTTGGCATATGATGACAGTTTATGCGCAATGATATGAGAAAGTGCTTGATTTCATTCATAAAATTGATTAAAAGAAGCATAAATTATTCCTATTTAAGAATTCAACTTATTAATTCCCAGACATGTCATCAACTTGTACATGTATTGGCTCCCTATGATTCCAATTTGTTTTTAGAGAACAGACAGTAGCTTATCAGACAGAGGATGTAATCATAATAATTATAATTATACCAAATCCTTCCCTCTCATTTACAGGGAAATATTTAGTGATCAGCGAGCGCGTAGAATTGTTAATTGGATCTCAGAAGTTTAAGCGTTAAGGGTCAATGATTTATTGACCAGTGACCATTAAGTTCAGCAAATGCCAGCAAACCTAGAAGAGACAAACAATAGTAATAATTATAGAACCATGCTAACTCAAAACTCTGAAGGGAAATGAGAGATGGTTTGAGTCAATGGGATTTGAATTATCTGGATTGATGTTGAATTTCAATAATTGTGTTTATAATGTGTTTATAACAATTATTACCATTCTTGTGCAATCAATCGTCATTTTTGTAGATTAAGTTTGTTTTTGAAGGAAGAACTTTCGATGGAATGTTTAGTTCAGGAAGTCTAGTTAAAATGTATTGGATTTACTTAGATGTTATGATGTTTGTATCATTCAATGGTGATAAAGGTTGGTACATGTCAAGTAATTATGCTTTGACTCTTTGATGTTTATAGACCAATGTTTTAGTTTAAGGTCACATTATCAATTGAAAGTAAATTTGAGGTCAAGGAAACGTAGAATTAGTTCAAGTTAGCAGGGAGTTTGAGCTAGCCAAGTTTGAGTCAGAGGGTTTGAACTTTAGTGGTAGGATTTCCTAGTTTCACAAATAATCTTGTTTTTGAACCCTAGAGGATTTTTTTAAATTATTACCATGGCAACAGTGGAAGTGACTACTGGAACATCAGAGATGGAGACATCTACATCTGCTTCTGCAGCCAAAGTAAAAATTGTGGCCCCATGTAATTCTGATTCTGGAGCATCATCCTCCAGGCTCAATGAGGGACACCAGGTACAGTTGAGACTGTATTAAGCAGTACTGTAAATTAAATTAAGCAGTTACCCTGTGTTGAGCAATTTTTATCCTATAGTTACAGTAATTTTCACCTCTATTAACTAAGTGCCTGTTTGTATTGTTTTTCACCTGTATTGGAAGGTCACTAAAAGTGGAACCACTAAAATAAGACAAAGAATAATCTTTCAGATAAAATTTTATCCACATTTATCTCCCAGAATCAATGTTGGTCCCCTATAGTATTTATTAGCTATTTTTGTAATTAAATGGCATAAAATTACAATGTTTATCATTTGTTTACTATACTCCTGTCCTGTGGAACCTGTATTATTTAATAAACAGTCAACCTGTATTAACCTACTAACTCCCAAGATCTCATTTAGTAATTCTCCTTACTGTCTGACAAACAGTTTTTGTGATGTTAGTTTGGAGAATTTGGTATTGTATCAACTTATAATCCCCTAACTGATATTTTACTTTATTCTCACCACTTGTCTGCTTGATATTGTATTGATATTGTATTGATATTGTAAGGAGAAATTATATCTTGGTCACTTACGGGAGTTAAAGCGTAATGCAGTCCCCATGCCATTCCCTGTGGGTGACTGTTTAATACAAGTTTGACTGTAGGTATCACTTCACAGTGAGGTTTTGTTATATGTTATATATGATTTGCAACTGTGGATAACATTTGATCATTTGGTTTTATGAACTGAACTGATAAATAAATGTAAATTTGCCACTGCAAAGAGTTTCTAAAGCAGAAGGTGTAAACTTCCAAGGAGTGGAGGTTTTTCTCAGAGGAAATTAAACCAGGACTGATGCTGGCTCCAATGTTGTTTACTCTTTTGTGTAGACCAGACCTTTCACCTTTCAATGTTGTACAGAGAATAATAAGCATTAATTTTCTCTCTTTACCATGTGCCTCAGAATTCCCTTGCTGGAAGACAGCAACGACAACAGAGAGTCTACAACATGATGAAAGACCTTCAGCAGAAGCATTTAGCCAATGTGATACAAGGCAAAATAACTGATCAGGAAAATTCTGATCTGTCTGAGTCGCAGAGCATCTGCCGTATTTGCCATTCTTCAGGGGAAGAACCCCTCATAACTCCATGCTACTGTTCAGGCTCAGCAAAACATGTGCATGCATCATGTCTGTTGACATGGTTTAAAAAAGAGGTGAAGAATACCTGTGAATTGTGCCGGCATAAAGTGGATATCAAGAAAAAGGGAAAGCCGTATGCTGAGGTAATTTTTGATTTCAAGCCTTTTGCTGTCGAGGCATATCGATACCACCAATCTTTATTTTACCATCCTTAACATTTTTGTTTTCATTGTCAGAATCATCATCCTTTTAGTTACTATCATCATCATTACTGCCATTATCATCGTCTTCATCATCGTCACCACCATTGTTATCTTTGCTATACCCCTCCCCCCTTGCTCTCCTACTCTTTCCTCCCCTTCCCAGTACTCTTTGAACTTTTGTTCTTCTCTTTTCCTATGTGCTTGTTTGGAAATAGAGCAAACAAAGGAGCTTGATAGAATTAGGATTTTCTTTCTTTACTGAATAAAATAGGGGAAGCATGACAGTGAGCCACTAACAATATTGAATTTCTTTAAAACCAAACTTAGAGCCATATCCTCATGCTCTTTCTAAACCCAATTTGTTTGGCGCGAGAGTATCCTCATACTCTTTCTAAACCCAATTTGTATGGCGCGAGAGTATCCTCATACTCTTTCTAAACCCAATTTGTTTGGCACAAGACAAAGAATTCCTTACAACTAATTTCAGATGTGTATGTCTTAACCCTTTGCTTCTTAGAAGTGATTAATGTGTAACTTCTCCTTTTCATATCCATGCATTATCCAGCAAATCGATAATGAAAATACCTCTCAGTTTTTATCTTGTTCTAACATCAAATCAATTCTCAAAACTTATGTAGAGAGAAATGTAGCTGGAGGGAAGAATTAGCAATGAGATCCTGGAAAGTAAAGGGATAAAAGCCTCAGAAAACAGTTGTTGCTGATATATGCACTTCTAGTCCAAAGTAATTTAGCATTTTCACTTCTAGTTCCATTATTTCAAGGCTAACTTTGTTTCTCTTCTTTAACCTTAGTGGCGCAGACCAGAAGATAAGCCAACACCAATAATCTGGTTCACTGTATTTGTTGTGGGACTTTTCCTGAATGTGTTCTCTATCTCTGTGAGTGCTTCTGAACTTTGCACCTCAACAGCTTGTGTGATATTCTACGTAGTGAATGGATTTGGGATCATTCTTGATGCTGCTCTTCTTTACTGCTGGTGGACAAAATGTCTGTTTTATTGGCGAAAGTGGTGCGCACTTAATCAGGAGTGGTCTATTGTGGTCGGTAATGGGCAGACTGCTCCACAGCGATGCAGCCGGGAAGAAAGAAGCAGTGGAAGGACTATACAAATTCCTCATATAGTTTGAACTGCAGTCCTTTTGTGCACAAGTTGCTTTGCTAATAACCAGTTCACCAACATCTTAGGTTGCTTCAACTCTTCAGTTGATTAGAAGTTGATCAGGTTCTGTCCATGAAATTGTTAAAAATTTTGTAATACATTAGCAAAACAACCGATGGGACTTACACAAAATTCCCTTAGATGTTGGTGCAACAACCTTTAGACGTTAGGGAACTGGTTGTTAAAAAAAAAAATTGTAGGTGAAACAACCAGTTACCCAATGTAAAACTGCAACTACTTCTTAGAAATGGGTATGAAAGCCCTGTTATTCAAATTAATATTAATAGTTAATTAATATATTGTATTATAGGTATTAAGTTTGAAAGTCGTGAAAATTGTAAGTGACAGATTCACATGTACATGTACACGGTATTGAATATTTGTTAACTTGTAAGAGAAACTTGATTAAAAATAGGGTCAAGCAATTTTCAATTGTGTGTTAACTTAACCTTTAACTCCCAGATCAAATTTGTAATTCTCCTTAATCCTTTAACCCCTAAGAGTGACTAACATCTAATTTCTCCTTACAATATCACCCCCAAATGACATATTAAGGTCATGAGAAGCTCTGGATAATGAAACAAATTCTCCTCACAAGCACCTTAGGGAATGTACAGAGAACAGTATGAAGAATATGCATATTAGTGTTCAGGGTAAAGGGTTAAAGTCAACCATACAACTCTTATGATGTTAGTGCAGAGAATTTAGGTTTGGATCAACTTTTTATCTCCAAATTTACATTTTTCTAAATTCTCATTACCTATCTAGTTAATATTGATATGGTTATTGTAAGAAGAAATTCTGTCTTGGTCACTCATGACAGTTCAAGGGTTACTGGTAATTCCCATAAGTGACCAAGAAAGAATTTCTCCTTACAATATCAAGCAGATAAGTGATGGAAATAAAAAATATATCAATTATGGGATTTTTAGTTTATTCATACCAAATTCTCCAAAGTAAACATGTGGACAGTGAAAAAACTAAAAATGATTGTGTATCATGAATAATTTTGGCCGAAATTTGGAATGACTTGTCAAGCACTTATTCAAGGAAATAAGCCTCTTTCATTTAAGTGACAGGATGTGGAATTTTGGTCCAGGTTTAAAATAGGGTTGGAATAATTTTGTATTTCAATCTGAGACAGGGTAAAGGTTGATTTTAAGAAGAATTCTATCTCTACTGAAGAGAGAGTACCAAGAGGAGCTTCAATACAGGAGAGGGCCATGTTTCTCAGGTAAATTATTTCTACTTTTGTTTGGTATTGAGAAGGCTTTACTCTGTCAGGTGTCTAACCATATGGTGCTAAATTGACTACAACACAAAGGCATAAATCTGTTTTCATGATTTATTTAACATTAATTTGATAAACTTAGGAGTTCTTGCCCTATCTATAAATACTAGTCAGTTAAATCTGAAATGATATAAAGTCTCAAACAAGTGTAAATATGAATATAAATATGAATATCATATCTTTCAACATCAGACAAAAACACTTAATTATTTACAATAAAATAAGTAAATTAATATAATAATTTCATTGTCGCTGAGCTGGTTACCTCACATCTTGAATTGTAAATGGATAAGATAATCTTTTTTCCAGTTTTAACAATTATTTGTGAATTAGCGATGCTATATAAAAAGGCGACAGTTAGACTGACTATTGTTAATTAAATTCTCTGCGTGTCGTCTACCTGCCTCTGTGATGTCATGATTTAATGTGAGGTATAACGTGAGTAGCTGACAGTTTTTGTTGTTGATAGCTTCAGCCAAGTGCTGTGCTCCAATGTCTGAGATGTTATTTCCTGAGAGGATTAATGTGCGTAGTTGACAGTTGTTGTTGTTGATGGCTTCAGCCAAGTGCTGTGCTCCAATGTCTGAGATGTTATTTTCTGTGAGGCTTAACGTGCGTAGTTGACAATTGTTGTTGTTGATGGCTTCAGCCAAGTGCTGTGCTCCAATGTCTGAGATGTTATTTCCCCGGAGGTTTAACGTGCGTAGCTGACAGTTTTTGTTGTTGATGGCTTTAGCCAAGTGCTGTGCTCCAATGTCGGAGATGTTATTTTCTTCAAGGTGTAACGTGCGTAGCTGACAGTTGTTGTTAGTGATGGCTTCAGCCAGGTGCTGTACTCCAGTGGCTGTGATGTTATTTCTTGACAGAAGTATCGCGCGTAGCTGACAGTTGTTGTTGAGGGCTTTAGCTAAGAGCTGCGCTCCAATGTCTGAGATGTCATTTCCCCAGAGACCTAACGTGCTAAGCTGACAGTTGTTGTTGTTGATAGCTTCAGCTAAATACTTTGCTCCTTCGTCTGTCAATTGATTTGCTGCGAGGTTTAACCAGCTCAGTTGAGATTTACTACATTTTAACAACTTACAAATCTCAAAACAACCTAATGGACCAAAGTTATTGTCGGCCAATTCTAAATGTGAAATTTGTTGAACATTCTTAATTACAGTAACTAATGAAGCACCATCAACAGGTGTGAGTTGACAAAAATTAAACTTTACAAAATTAAAATTAATTTGTTGTAGTTTTCTCTGAACTATTTCCTCCATCTCACTACTTTCGTTAGCACATTTAAATAATGTCACTGCTAAACCGTTTTTATCTTTAGTCGGCCAACAAGTTACTTTCCTTCCCCTCGTTTCCTCTGTCCACTCTTCGTGGCTTTCTCTCACTTCAGTTTCCACAGGAAGAAGGTCTGTGATGATTTCGCTAGGTAGTTTTTCTTTCTCGTTCATTAGTCCTGCTAGAAACTGAAAAACCAGCTGCCATTTGCCGTCCTCTATGTTCATTGAAACAAAGTTCCTTAATTCTGTTTCACTCATGTTTGCCAGGTGCCTTGCAGCGAAAAACTCCTGCACTGTTAAATGAATGAAACAGAATTGTTGTTCACGTTTTAACGGGGCAGTTTCACGGTCGGGTAAGCGGTGAAAGAGAGCGCTACCTTTCATTCCGCGTACTTCGTTTCCTCCAAAGATTAGCTTTCCATCTCTAATTCCTTCAAATGCCATTTTTTCCAGTTTCTCGAACTTCTTTTCAACGTCAAGGGGCAAATCGTCCGATTCAAAGTCTTCACGAGTGAAATCTTCGTCGCGGAATTCTTCGTTGTGTCTTAAGTAAAAGATTTTCACTGCTTTCTTGTAAATATCTGTTAATTTCGTTGGTAGGTTTAGACTCTTAGAACCATAGAACTTCACCATTTGAAAGAGAGTTGAGCAAATGATGAAGCAACTCGCAGGAACGTAGCATAGAGAGAGAACGTTCATGTTACCGCGAACGTGTCGCCATAATGTTTCGCCCGCATACTTGTCCTCTTCAGCAAATTTGGTTACGTACTCTTCGACTTGTTCGGATGAGAAGCCGAGGATCTCAAAGACTTTGTCGAAAGAAAGACGTTCGATGCATGACAAAGCCGTAGGTCTTGTAGTTGTCAAAACGGCAGCTCCGTTGAGAAGTTTCCCAGTCGCAAGCTTCTCGTAAAGACCGTGAAGGGGCATCTTCTCGTCAACGCGGTTTCTGAATTGAGGCTTGAAGTTTTCCTTCCTGATCTTTGAGTTGTGTTTGAATTCATCGATTCCATCGAAAATAAGGAGAACTCTTTGGGGATTCTCAAGGATGTAATTCCAGACTTCATCATCCATGTGATCTGAGGGGGAATGT